ACAAGATATGAGGCCACTTTTGACAGAAAATGGCCAAATGTACCTAGGGCCGTGCATACGTGAAGTTATTTCCACAAATGCCTCCTTGGACTTCAAATGTGCACTCCCTTCAAGATGAAATTAGCAATTTGGAAAAAGTCATGCCAAAACTTTAGCTAAATTTTTGCTGGTCAAAAATACAAAATAAAAAAATCCCAAATGAGATTTTTTTTTTTTAATTTCAAAATTTCTTACCTTTGCTTATTATTTTCCTACAGATTAGTATTTTTTTATTTCTTAGAAGAAAATAGTTCAGGAAAATGAACCACAGCATACCTTAAATAGCATGCTGAGCTTTCAAACCACACAAAATCGGAGATTTCCTAATAAAATATTTTATGCTAGTGTTTCCTCACTAGAACACTACATGCCTTTGCTATACAACCAGATTACCTGGAGAAGTTACACTGCAATCAATGCCTCCAGCAAGCATAGTGCAAGAGTCCTCAAGAGCAAGGGCCAGTTTGTGCAAAAATGCCTACTACCTCTCACTTCCAAACTGCTGTAGTTACTATTGTCTACGTAAACCTGTTTAAAGCTGGCTCAGTAAGTCTACAATGCCTGTTTGAGAACATTGTACATATCTTAAGACTTCCTGACTGTAGCATATTCAGTTTTATAGTACATCTCCATATTCAGAATAGGAAGATATTTTACTTCTTCCCTATTTTTATACATTGATGATCAGTACTCTGTGCTTGGAGGCTGGTTCAGTTATTTCTTACTACGATGAATTTTTGTCTTCATTACAAATGGAATCCATCACATTCAGATCTCATTAGCCACTTTCACAACGTTAAGGAAAAAAAGACAGAAAATACTCTTTCCAACAATGACAGCTTATAAACTGTTAAAGGCTTCATGCAACTTACAACATTAACTTAGCCTTTTAGATGTTTGTAATTACTGTTAACCCAATTTTGCACAATAGTGCAATAATGGCATTTCCCCAACATTTACACTTACTAATTCGCAGAATTTATGCCAAAAAAAGCCAAAACCAGAAGCCACCTCCAGCTTAAATAGAATATTCCTCTTCTCTGACAACATTAAAAATTCATCTCCATGATGCTTAAGACAAGTCAGTTCCTGATGTATCTTTATTTTCAAGCTTTTTAATGTTCATCTTTTTAACCAACCTTAAGATGATACATCTCCCATTTTTTTACCAAACAGCATAATGCCCAGAAGAAGGCAAGCCATAAAAGCCAAGGTCCTGTTGGCTTCCTACAAAAAATAAGCTTCCCATGACATTACTCATAATTGTAGAGCTTTGCACAGGTAACCTAAACCAGGACTCTCCTTCCTCAGGTTTCTGTGCTCTGAAACCAGTCTTGAAATTCAGCCTCTTTACTGATTCTGTAGTTATGCTTCATCGATAGTTCACACACCTCCTCCATGACCTACAGCCCAGCAATATTTTTAAGTGCAGAAGCTACATTCCTCCTTCTCATGGCAGCACCGCAGCTCCAGCTTCACTGTAGGCACTTTGTGCCATGACAGGGTGCCTGAGCTGCTTGAAAGCATGTATGAAAAGATTTAAATAGGTTATGAGCAAGTTTAAACAAGATTTCACCCTGTTGCTAGGAGTCATGCATGTGAAATAATCGTTTATTGCTCCAAGCAGGTATATGGCACTTTGTCAAGACATAGGACAGAAAAAATAGAGAAGAGCACTTCTATAATGTGCAGTTTCTGGTCAAAGAGCAAGTGATTCCTACCACCACCACCAGCTGCATCAAACAGGATCAATTAAATCTCTCAGCAGCATTTACAAGAACAACATTTGCTATGGTTGACTGCTTTCTATTGTCATAAATGTTCCACTTCTGTCACCAGACATACCAAGCATCTAATTCTGTCGCCTTATTTACAATCCTGACTTGCCCACACTTTCAGTATTGACTACTCTGGTTAATGAGATTTAATTTTGTTTTTAAAAAGAAGTGGTATGACTATTCATGTGACCACAAACCCTGGATTCTTCTTGAATTCTCTCTACTGAATTCCCATAGAAGTTAAAATGGAAAAAACAAGAAAATACTTCAGTTTGGCCAACGACCACACTGGGAATTACATACTTGCCTAGAGGAGCAGAACTCAGCCACCCTTGGCAGACTGCTACCACTGCAGTTATGTGATTAAAATGAGGGTGTGGGATCTTCTTGGCTTGGGATTTCTATGCTTATCTTACCAATCTGGACTTTGAATATTGCCAAGACTGCAATGAGATCGGTCTGTACCTATCCTTTCCTCTGTCATATCTTTAAATTCTACCAGTATACACAGTAGTCACATTTATTTCAGCAATAAATCCCCAACTGTTCAGAGAGACCAGAATAATTTTAATGTCCAATAACATTTTTGTCTTTTTATATAAATTACTTCAGCCAGAATATACAGCTGTCTTACCATACATACAAATTTATAGCCACCATCACTGGCTTAAAAAAAAAACCAAAAACCAAACAGCTGATAAAACCCCCAAATCTTTTCCATTTCAGTTGCCCAGTGACACAAAGGAATAACTACCACTGTGTCACAGAGATCTTAGTCACACAGTAATTTATTTTTTTCCAAATGGAGACCAAGTATTGCTGACAAATATTCAGTGTGCCCCTCTAAGATCAGAGTTCAATATTTTCAGACAACGTTGTTAATAGAATAAAATGCAGATTAACATTTAAAAGAATCTAAAGCGAGAGGAACGGAGAAAATGAAAAAAGTTTTGAGGTTGGAAAGTTGTGTTATGGCTGAGCCAGTCTAACAACCTGCTGATGTCAACAGTCAGAGCATCCTGTCCTCCTCCACCGCCTGGCACCACCTCTGGCACTTGTTAGATCCTGTACCGAGCTAACGCAGCTTGCTAACCCAGCAGAACACTAATCCAGCAAAAATAAAACCAGATCAAATATCTTTCTGCCGATCAGCAAGTTTTTTCAGAGCAGTATGATTTCTAAGAAGTGCCAGGACCAATTCAAGCAGATGGGGGAGGCCTGCAAGGCTAGCACAGGGATGAGATGGACCTGCCTGTTTCAGCAGCAAACTGCTAGGCTAGCGTAGGTGTAATGTATTTTTTCACATCAACTGCCCTTATCTTAGGCTGGAACATTTTAAATTACTGCCTCCACAGCTGAAGCCACTACGGGCAGCCCTGATCCATCTCACTGCAAATAAAACTGATAGTTTAACCCCCCTCACAGACAGATCCACCAGTCAGTCTCCCGGAAAGGTATTTTAGCTGGAGAATGTTAACGTGCAGGGGAAAGGTAAAGCTGGAAGTGGTAACTTCTTAAAGGGTCACAACTAGACCTGCAAAACCTGTTACATACATTTCTATTTGACCTGAATGTAAGCTGACACAGGATAAGCATGCAAGACATGTTTCAGAGGGCTTTTTAGCCCCCACCTATTTATTCTCTGGGGGAAAAAAGCATTCCAAAAAAAAAAAAAAAGGGCGGGGGGCATTCTAAAATAACTCCACAGTCAGTAAAAACATAGAAATTCATATTCCAAGGTGGATTGAAAACTAGTTGAAGAGAAGGTGGTGGTCAGAGGCACAAACTTGAGTTGGAGGCCAGTGACTACTGCTGTACCCCAGGGGTCAATACTGGGTCCAATCCTGTTCAACTTCTTCATTAATGACCGGGATAATGGAGCAGAGGGCACCCTCACCAAGATTGCTGGTAACACAAAACTGGGAGGAGTGGCTGATAGGCCAGAGGGTCATGCTGCCATCCAGAGGGACCTTGACAGGCTGGAGAAAAGGGCTGACAGGAGCCTCATGAACTTCAACCAGGAGAAGTGCAAAGTCCTGCACCTGGGGAGGAACAACCCCAAGCACCAGTATATGCTGGGGGCCACCCAGCCGGAAAGCAGCTTGGCCGAAAAGGGACCGGGGTTCCTGGTGGACAC